AGAAGCAGTAGAAGCAGTAGCAGTAGCAGTAGCACTAGCAGTAGTGGTGGTAGTAGTAGTAGTAGCAGCAGCAGCAGCAGTAGCAGTAATAGCAGTAGTAGCAATAGCAACAGCAGTAGTAGTCGTCATCGTCGTAGTGGTGAGTGGTGGCACTGGGAGTGGCAGAAGAGCACTGGTGGTAGCAGGGGCAGGAGTGCCGGTAGGTGTGATGTTCGCCGTAGTGATAGTGGCAGTTGTGTTCGTCGTCGTCAACACGATGGTGATGATGGTAGTTGTTGTTTTGCTGCAGTTCTACGACCAGTACAAACAGCAGAGGCATCAGCAGCAGCTGGTGATGAGCAGCAGCAGCGGCATCAGAGGGAGGGTCGAGCAGCAGCAGCAGCAGCAGCAGCAGCAGCTGCAGCAGCTGCAGCAGCTGCAGCAGCTGCAGCATGTCATAAGCAGTAGCATGAGAAACGAAATAGCTTTAGAACAAAAACCATGGCGAGAACAGCAGCAACAATGGAGAATAGCGCCAGAACCACGATGCTGCAACATCATCAGAATACTGCACCAACCCGACAGCAAACACACAGGCGAATATCAACTCAACGGTGGACATCTTGGCAACTTGGAAAGCACTCCCATAGCAGCCATAGCAATATTCTCACCACTATCCCCTCTAGCACTTGCATTGGCAGAGTCAACATCCGTCCTCATCCGAACATTATGACGGTCACAAGCATCATAAATGTGAATCTAGCTGTCATCACGGGTGCTGGTGGACATTCTGAATATTTCCGAATTGCAATTTCGCAGCTTTTACGACTACCACTACGACCACCACTCACAAGCCTGTTTCAGTTGTCGTGCCACTGCCATCATGTTCGGTTTTGCTGCTTTGGCTTCCATTACTGCCGTTGTTATCGTATTCTCATGCCCCAGCCGCCCCAGCCCTCGAACCTTTAGCGACGTGCTGCCACAGTCTCGGCTTGAGACCCCGGTCTCCCAGAACCTTCGGTTTTGACGGAACTTAAGGCTTGTGTTGAAGGCAAACACTATCACGGTTTCGGATTCAGGGCAGGTGGAATGTATAGTACTGTATGATTTACAACCGAGCAGAGTTTGGAGCTGTTGGCTTAGCAACACTTTGAACCTTTGGGTGTCTGTTGCTACATAGATGTCGATGGACATCGTAGCTGAGGGCTTGTTGATCCACTAAGCGCGATGCCGCAAACCCAAATCCCCAAACCCAGACCCAAGAAAGCCCACATCCCCGACCCTAACCACATAAGGCTACGTTCTGACCCGCAACCCTGGCCTCCAGGAAAGAAAGCCCCATCTGCCACTGCTCGTTTCGCAGGCAGGCCGTGATCGCCGTGTTGAAGCCTCATTTTGCGCATACATGCCGCATAAGCAGGTCTGAAACGGCCTAAGCGGTTTTGGAACTGCAGAACAGCGCTTAGCAGGGTTTTTTGGCGAGGGCCTTCGAGTCGATCCTAAGCTGTCTGCTGCACTCCCCAAAAACTCATCTCTCCCCAGCTATCAAGGACTTCACAGTTGATAGTGATCTGATAGTGTCAAAAAAGTCCTGTCGATGCGATGACTGCATGATGAGGCTGCTACAAGTGCTTCTGCCGTCGTCTGCTCTGCATATATCCAACATTCTTTCAAGACAAGGCATACTGTGACTCGTACGTCTGCTTCTTGCTTCGGCATCGCTACAACGATTTCAAAGGTATTGACTATCGAAAGATAAGAAGTAGTGCCGTTCTCACCATCTTCCGACAGTTTCCACCATCAGGGCGGGAGTTGTCTGACAGGCTTCCTCACTGTCCGGACAGTCGCCGTGTGCAGTACCCGAATCCTCACAACCTCCAGCAAATCCACGTCATGGGGCTTCACGCACCGTTGAGAAAACAAACGTTGACTTTGAAAGCGTTTGGTAGCACTGGGCTTGTGTGAAAAGACTGCGGAAGAACAAGCTTGCTGCACAAGTAGCTGACAATATCTGGACAGAGGTTGCTGCTCCCAAGGTTGTCAAGGAGCGCCACCTCAAGCGGAAAGAGCGCGGATTAGACTGTCAAAGTCGGGTGGGCCCTTGACCTCCAAATGATCTAGACGCTCCGGACAATGCAGGGTTTCGGACGCTAAGATCCCAGAGCTTCAGGTAGAAAGCTTATGAGGCACCGGTGCCGTCTTGTCAGAAACGACTGTGACAGACGGATACAACATTTTCAAACACTGACAAAGCGAAGAACCCTAAACCCTCTAACGCCGAATTCTTGGCCACCAAACTCGAAAACCCAAACTGCATGAACATCCAAGAAAGACTTAGAACCTCCCTAAGCCCAAAGCTCTAGACCCCAAACGAAACCTCTCCACGAAATCCTTATGAACCTGATCCCAATGCCCAGAGCCGTAAACATGAACCGCCAGCCTCTTTGGAACCCTAAAGCTGAAAGCCGGGGTGAATCCAACGCAACTTTCTGATTCAGCCAAGTTTCTGCCAGCCACCAGGGGCCCTCCTGACAAGCTGCCAGTGCCGCATTGTGGCCTGCTTGGGCGATCTACTTCGGGCACAGCCTCAACGCATTAGCACAGTAGGCGCTGAACAATGCGCGCATTGATCTGCTGACGATAGTCATGAATGCAAATGAAGCCAGAAGGAGGAGGAGGCGGAGGAGGCGGAGGAGGAGGAGGAGGAGGGCGCGGAGGATCTTCGCCGCCGCCACTTCCGCCATCACCGCCACCACCCTCACCATCAACATCATCATCATCACCACCGCCACAGCTGCTCTGTTGCTGTTGCTGTTCACTAATGCCGATGCTGATGATGATGGTGATGGTGATGGTGATAGTGTTAAACATGATGAGGATGATGATGATGATGATGATGCTCATGATCCTTGCTTCAGGAGTCGCTACGGCGGACAACAAAACTCCAGGTCTCCCTCTTCCCCCGCCTATCGCACTTTGAAGTACAGTGTCTCAATCCCGGCTCCAACTAGGACGGCACTTCTAGGAAGCTGAGCAAAACAACGTTAAGCGCTTGCTGCACCCCAAGTCACAGATGAGATCGGGTTGCACCCGGGTCCTGGCAACGAGTGCGTACATTTGTTGATGCGAATTCTACGGCATACCAGACAAGAGGGCGTCAAGTTTGGCCCTCATGGACTGCGTTCGCGGTTGGTAGCTCGACTCAACCCTAGCCTTCTACAACAAACCTGCAGAAGCAGAGCCATCCGCCTTAAGCCCTTACGGTTCGAGATGTTCTGCTCCTACATCTAAGCTTGAGGGCTGAAGGCCGACAGTTTGGGGCTTGAGGGTTTGAGGCTCTGAAGCTTCAGAAACTTCGGATTTCCTTCGAACCAGAACCATCCACCCAGATCGAGGAATGCTCCCGACCCCATCGTGAAAGACTTTACGGAAGTGCTAATAACAAGATCATCACCAACGGACCAAGTCCAAATGCAGACAAATGGCGACAATATAAACTCAGCTACATGACATCTACGTCCAGCAGGGTCTACGTGAAAACGCCACTGTGCGCTCAGGCTGCTAGCGAACAGAAGGACTACAGTCAATCGCACTTAGGGCTGGTCGTGGGGGTGTAGCATTGAAAGCTCCCTGGAAAGAGTAGAAACGCAAGCCTGCTCCAGCCTCCAACTCTGCCATTGCTGGACTACAGGAAAGCAAGAATGGAGGCTTATAACTCTAGCAACAACCGTTCACCCGCTTGGGCTTGGGCTGGGGATAAGCCCCGAACGAAAGGAGTCTCCTTGCCATGTCTGCCAGCACCGTCAGCGCGAGCCGCCACTGCGCACTACGCTGCACTGCAGACAGCAACGTGGTGAAGCAGATCCTGAAGAGTGTGGAAGTCAGGACATGCATCCTGAATTCTACCCTTGGTCCCCAAGCCCTACACCGTGAACTTGCTGGGGGGCGTTGACTTGTGGTCTTCAGGGCTTTTGGGTTTTAGCCACGACATGACCTGACGAAACATGCCAGCCGCAGCAACCATCGCAAAGCCAACCTTGAGTTCTCTGCTAACCCCAAGACCTGAAGCCGGCTCGGGCAGTTTGCAGGTCCGGGCCCAGCCATCGTCGGTATACGGGCTTCGCGTTTGGACTCGCCGAGAATGTCTGAAGCCAAGGTACACGTCTGCTTGCAGGCGTCCTGAGTGGATATTGCGCAGAGGATCATGCTGTTGGTACCACAGGCTGGACTGCTGAGGACACGGGGAAAGGTCTGTGCTGTTCTGATGACTGTACGTCTTTTTGCCGACTCTGAGCAGTGATCTAGAATCGCTCTGCAGGCTGAACTAACATCGCGATTATGGCCTCTTTTCTATCTTTGACATGTTCACTAATGAACGACTGTGCAAGCCGCAAGCGCCATGCGTCGACACATGTGCACTATATACTTACCACTACTGCTCCTACGACTCGGGCCAGAACTACGCATGCAAAGAGAGATGAAGGTCATTGTGCATGTGCTGGCAGGGCAAGTACCAAGGTGGAAGCTACAGAACCCCAAGAAACGAATTGTATGCAACACATTGAGTCCGACCGTTTCCCCTGAAGTCTTACAACCCGAAGATCAACCAGCAGGCGCAAAAAAGCAAGCTAAGGAATGGGAAGAATCGCAACTCGATGCCTCGCCATAAGAAGACGACTGAAACATAAAGATTATGAGAAAAACAAGCCACGAGACGCTTCACGTAAGAGTGAAGTCGGCAGCAGGTGTCTGAGAAGAAAAGATGACGAGCCACTGGAACTTGCTTGACTATGATATGTGCCCTGGTGATTTCAAGTGTACGAGGCTCAAATTTTGAAATTTCAGTCTAACACAAGCCATCGCAAATATATCAATCCGGTCCAGAAGTACACTTTAAACTCACGCTCAAGCCCTGAAGTAAACGGCCTCCAACAGCCAGATCTAAACCCGTACATCTCTCACAAAACCGAATGGTAGAGGTTCGACGTAGATGGCATGAGGTACGAGGTTGAAAAGCCAGCATCCATAGCGCCGTGAGATGTCCAGGACTCGGTCTAAAGATCTGAGTTGGGCCATTCGGGACCTGAGTAATTGCAACAGGTTTAGTTTGTGTTGCTTGATGTGATACCACATTGTACTACAGAACATTACTATAGTGCTAGTGCTAGGGATTGGCTCCGGGATTACCTTTCTTTTGCTAGGGCTCGCTGCTGCAGGGTCCGAAGCGCGCCCAAGGCTGCAGGCCAACGTTGACTCCTCCGGCGGGGGGGGTGGGGGTTAGAGTTTATGTCGTCGGGCTTCCAGGGCCTGCGGATTCGCTGGACGAGGCTTAAAAGCCGGTGGCGAAGAAGCATCTTGAGACTAAACGGACCCTCTTCTGTGGAAGTGTAGCTGCTCTCGAGCACAACATCTAAATGCTGCAAGCAGCGTGGTTGCTTTAGGATGCAAGATTGAGCAGCAACACGGACACCCCGGCACTTCCGTCCTGTCGCAATGTCCAGCATGCAGACTGCCGTTGTTCAAACACCCAACCACTATGGGACAGGTTCCCGAAATCTCTCGATGCGGATGCTGCCTTAGATCGAATCGGCTGCATGGCGTACCAACTCAGGTTTGAGGGCCCTTGTTGAAGACTCCGAAGCCATTTGATCTTCGCAACTCGCCTGCTAAGGCCTTGATGCTGAAAACCCGGTGGGGAGGAGGATCCTGAATCCTGAACAGAAAGATCCTCTGCGCCGCGTCCATAACGGCTGTGTAGCTTACGAGGTCCTCAGCTGGGTTTAGGGCCCTTTGTGAGGGTGCTTTGACGTGGCTACAGTTGCTTGCGATTGTAAGGTCTTCCTCCGATCTCCATATGCTCGGGGATGCGCCGGCACGCCGGGGCATACGGGCATGCCGGGCCGGGCGTGCTTGGGTGTACCCGGACCTCGTCGATGTACTCAAGTGTACTCAAGTGTACTCGGGCATGCTACTATGGCATACTCGGGTGCATTGGAACGTTCCCGGTCGTACGTAACTTTCCGACTCTCGAACTCGCAGCCCAGCTAGGCTAAATCCTTGACCCTGAAACACAAACCCAAAACCGGTGGACAGCTCAGCGCCTACAAAGCTTGCGAAAAGGCCCCGCGACACCACGTTCTTCCCTTCCCGAAATCTTAGATCGATGAGCTGCCCAATCCCGAAACTCCATGTATCGAGCTTGCACCAAACTCTAGACATTAGACATGGGTGCCAAGGCTTGGTGGATAGGCCCATTTTCCCCACACCGGTTGAATGCTCTTCAGTACCAGGTGGCCGGTTCAACTCCCTCTTCCTGAACCGCCAACAGCAAGGAAGAAACCTCGCGAATGAAGAATCCCGGCAGTAGTGTTCTATGCGTCTCTTACTCTGCGGCAGCATCCCACCCCCTAAAGCCAAAAGCTTCATGCAGAAACACTCACAGTGGATTGCATACTGCCGGGTTGAATCCAAATCTCACATGGAAGGGCCTTTTCACGCAAAGATTGATTTGAACTTCCTAAACCTTACACTCAGCCCGAAACCCAAGAACGAACCCTGAAACCCTTCAGTCTCTGAACCCGGAGACCGGAAATAAAAAAAACTCTGAACCTTCAAGTCTGTCCCCGATTTCCCGGCAGCTCAACTCGACAAGCCCAAAAGCCCGCCATGAACCCTGAAGCGTCAGCTGTCAAATATCAAGACCGCAGCCTACAGGCAGCGCCCAAGTTTCGGCAGAAGAAGGCTTCGGGGTTTAGGGCTTGGGGCGGGTTAATACTAATTTGTACATGTCTGGGTTTCATTCGGCTTTGTGGCTTGCCTCACAGTCCCAGGCCCGAACCGTAGCGAACCCAGCCCTACAGTACAATGCTACGGACAACCCAAGCGCCCGAGACGAAAAACACCTTAACCCGAAACCGACAGGAAATGCAAAGACACCGGAATTGCCGTACTACTCTTCGAAACAGCAACCTGTCGCCAGCGACTCGCTTCCGCCACGGCCTTCAACGCTGAGTTCAGGCCGACGACATCGGCATGGATCTGCAATCAGGGTAGAGTTCGTGAATGGTATGCTTATATGGTGCACGCTCTGGGATTTTTGTGCGACTCCCGTCGCAGATGCAAGTGGCAGATGGGCGGTACGCTCGCGGTGTATGGCTTCGGATTGCTCTGCACGTGGGGCAGCTCATTCTTGAGTCGCAGGTCTCGAGGTGGCTAAACCCTAGTTCAGAAGCCTATAGCACTTTAGTGCGGGTGCTCCCGGGTGCTGCACGTTTTAGCTTGGGGTGTTCGTGGTTTCAGGCTGTGGCTTGGGACGGAACGCGTTTGGAGTTTGGGATCAATGCTCCTGGATGCTGCTTGCGCTCTCGGCGCTGAGGTTCCCAAAATCTCAACACCTGCCACGTGACAAGACACAATCTGCTCATTTGACCTAGCCCCTGAACCATCCAAATCTGGAAAAACCAGCGCATGGCATCCTTAACCTATACGTAATGGCCTAGAGTGTTGACCTCCGCACAGACTGCGCCCCAATGTGCCCTCGAACCTTTTCCCGAAAATCTCCGACTCGAAAACCAAGCTCCAAACCACAAAACACAGAAAGCACCATTCCCAGCGAACAACCCGGGCTCAAGCCACAAAGCGCATAAACCCTCAGCGCACCTCAAAATCTCGAAGGCCAACTCTCTCACTCTGAAAGTGAGGCTTGCAAGGCCTTCCACACGTGCAAGTCCCTGAGCAGAGCCAGAGCTCCTGGCCAGCGCCGCACTGGGGGAAGGTTTCGAGTAGTTTCTTTTGGGGGGTTCCAGACCTAGGCGCAACACGGGCGCAGGGTCGATCTGAGGGTGCCCGCCGAAGAATCGAAGATCCTAAATTTATGAGGCTATCTAATAACCTCACATCCCTTGTGTGCAGCAAAAAACACCAGGAACGACACCGGAGCTGCGCTGTCCCATTTGCCCCGGGCACGCATCACCCATCTCACCTCGCGGCTCCCCAGTTCCCAGGCGCGTGTCACCCATCCGACACCGGTGCGTTCCGTTTTCTTCCGAGGAGTGGACCCCACCTTTCCTGTTCAGGGAAAAAGAAGAACTAGCAGTGTCTGAAACCTCCAGATATGTGCGCATCGCTGCGCGGTCCAGCGTTGAAAGGCCTTGGGGTCTGGGTTGAAGCTTCAATTTGCGCGTTGCGGCGTTGCATTTCCGTGCAAAAAAGCCGCCTCAACTGGTTCTTGCCATCTGCCTGGATCTTGCGAGATATCTTCATCAATCACTTCTCCGGAACTCAGAGCTAGTTTTGGGGGGCTTAGGGTCCAGAGTCCTTCCATTCACACTAAGCTGACGGGATGAAGCCGTTCGATGAAAAATTGACGAACCCGTCGAAGCTCCGACACTGGCAAGCTTCAGACGGCAAGTGCCTGTTCCTTTCATTTATACGCCCTCACAGCACGGAGAATCTTCCAGATGAGATGCGAGCTACTCAAGTCTTCCTAGAGTTCTCGAGAACTGGCACTAAGCATCTTCACCATCACAACCATAGTCCGTGCAGTAAACAACCGGACTTATGACAGAATAAAGCTCACTAGAAGCTGAAACTAACAACAGTCCTTTTCAGTTGTGGCCTCCGGAGCTCAAGTAAGGGGGGGGGGGGGGGGGGAGGCAGGTTGCGTAAGCTCTTCGTCGTAAGTTCTTGGGCTCTCGGGGTCAGGCCTGGCCAGCAGCTGCCGCGCCCGCAAGCGCTTATGACGCTGTTGCAGCCTGTCAGCTCTACGTGGCATCCTACCAGCTAGAAACGTCTCCGCCAGCCCTTCGCCGTGACCCTTTATCCCGAACGAACAGAACCCTGACCTAAAGCCTTGAGCTCGGAGTCCCAAGCCCTTGTTCCCCGATCACTTACCTACCTAGCCATCCATCTGCAAACCATCTGAACAGCGCCCAGTTTTTAGAAGGAGACAACCGACAACCGCTTCCCGTTTCCCTCTCTCAACACAGCACCGATACTAGGGTTGTATGTTTATGTGATTTTGTAGGAACATGAAATCCTTTGCCTTGACAACGTCTCAGTAAAGTTTGTGTGAAGGCGGCTCTGTAGAGCCTTGTTGCAGGGCCCAAGTGGTTCCGCAGTTTGATGTAGAGTTGATGGCAATGTACCTGGCTACTTCGTTGGTCTTCGTAAAACTGTAGGACTTGGATCCTTTACCTGGATCTCAGCTTTTCTGTTTCCCTGCAGAACGAGCTCTTCCCGAAGTTGAAAGCCGAAATCGTCCCATGTGCGTTCTTCAAGGGAGCCTGTCGGCCTGTCGGTGCATATGTTTTACGGCTACACCACCCGCCTCAGAGCCAGCTGCAAACATGCACGTACTCCAACACACCGAAAGTCTGATTGCAAAGGCCCTTGGTTCTTAAGAAGTGGTTATGGGTAAAATCCGAGGAGCCTTGGAAAGCCCCAAACACTCGGCACCACAAGCTGCCCCAAGAAGCATGTCTCAGCGAATAGACTATCCTAGAAGTTCGCAAGCAGCCCGTCCCAAGATAAACCAAGGCGTAGCCACTGCTCAAGTTTGGCTGCACGCTGTCTGAGCGCATCCGCTCCCTCGGCCGATCACAATCATGACTATTGTTTGTCAATACTTTTAGCATGACTTGGCCTGCCGTTTCCAAGACAATGACGATGCGGAGAAAGAGGGCGACGACTACGACCGCATCGACGAAGGCGACAGGAAGTAGCGGCAGCAGCAGTGACAGTAACTATAGAAGCATCAGGGGCAGTAGCAGTCGCAGTGTCGGCAGCAGAAGCAATAACAGTCGCATTGCTAGCAGTAGCGGTAATGGCAGCGGCAGTGGTAGTGGTGGTAGTGGTCGTCGTCGTCGCAGTAGTAGCAG